AAACCCTTCGCAGTTTATTGCAAATTCTTTCGCAATATTTCGAAATAATTTTCGAAATTTTTCGAAATTATTTATTTCGAATATTTCGCGTCGATCGCAATAATTTCGAAATATTTCAGCGCCACAAATTCTTTCGCAATATTTCATATATATTTTTTGCTGATGTTGTAATACAAAATGTGATATATTCGAATTTGTTCTGTAACTAATTTGAATCTATTACATTTTGTGGTTATATAAAAAAATGACCCTAAAATTAGGCCCAATCCCACTCAATCCAGTCTAATTTAAATTTTCTGTGCCAAAACTGATCTGACAGTTGGGATTGGATCAAAATCTGAATCTGATCCGATTTAACTTTTTTGAACACTAGCTGATGTTTCTATTGATTCTATATAAACCAAGATTTAATAGCAGCTTTTGCAAACTTATCTTCAACATCTTTATACTTAAACCTACATACTCTAGTCAGTTAAATCCTTGACAGAAAAGGTTAGCTGATTACAAATAAACTAGTTATTAGAAGAATACACAACTCTTAGCAAACATCTAAAATCTGATATTATACTCTATAATTGGATAATAGACTAATTGCTTGCCAGGGCTGCAACCTAAAAAACTGATCTTATTGTTTTAAATACTGCTACTTCAATACAACAAAACCTATCTATAATTTACAAATAAACTACAGAAAAGGATCTATATTGATCTAAATGACTTTAAAAAATATTAGCTATAAGTTTTGCCCAAATATTTTCACTTTACAAATCCAGAACATTGCAAACTTTAACTAAACTGCTTTGCACTTTTGCAAATCCCCTATCTCACTCTGGGATATATTTACAAAAATTAACTTTAATACAAAAACTTTGATACTTATTATAACAAATATTCAACAGATAGTAAAAAACAGTTACTGTATTGTGGCAAAATGGCATCTTCAATATATTTATACTTCATTCAGCTACTTTACCAACCTCTGCCCCTCATATATCACATATTACTCACTTTATTAAGCCTTATTCTCATAACAACCAACTTATATACTTCTATCAAAATCTATACAAATAATCTTTTCTTCACCAATCTAATCAATCTTACACAATTAGTTTCACTATACAACTATTCTGTATTAGATAAACAACAACATACATACCTCTTCTTAATATTAAAAGTATTAATCTACAACCGAGAGATTACAATTATCTTTAACAAAGATACCAAAATTCAAAAAACCACCAATAATATATTTTCATTAAATTCTACACCTCAACACTTTTTATATAATCACTTTATTTCAAGGCTTTTCGACAACTCTTGTATTTATCTGCTAAAAACTACACTAAAACAGATACATCAAATTACTAATTAGAGGGCATCCATAAATAACATTATATACCTCTATATAGAACCTCTTAACCCTCCTAGACTATATAAAAAAAATTAAAAATCTGTATATTTATAAATATATTTTTACAAAATCTTAATTATCTTGTGACCTAGTAATCCAAATTAGATAAATTTGATACTATTAGATTCCTCTTAGTGAAAGAAATTCAATGGTACCAAAATTATTCAATTTGGATTACTGGATCAAATGATATGAGTAAAAAACTGTTAATTATATAGTAATTATATATAAAATCATATAGTCAATTGTTTTTTGCTAATATCTTTTGATCCAGTAATCTAAATTGAATAACTTTGGTACCATTGGATTCCTCTTAGAGAGACAAATCCAATGGTACCAAATTCATCCAATCTGAACCACTGGGTCATGAGATATTAATATTTTTATAAAAAAATTTAGTTATTTTTCTTCGACCTCCTTTACCTTAGCAAAAAACATAAAAAAAACATAATTTTTGTGAAACCTCCTTTCCCCCTCTTGTATAATGTTATTTATGGATGCTCCTTAACTCGTTTAGTTTAATTAATAACAAATTGCTAACTGACATACTTTCTAAAGAGATATTAGTTGATAACAGACACTAGAATATATAATGAAAGACTACTGATTTTAAATACTAATTCATTTGCTTCAGCAATAAAAAATTTTAAAATCAAACTGCTCTCTGAAGAACTACCTACCTACTTCTTTCTTTATTGAAAAAACGCTATAAAATATTTCAACTAACTTTGTCTAAGATACTTAAACAAACCAGAAGATATTCTCTATCTCTTAATATATCCTCAAAACTATCTATATCTCACAACTTTAATCACACAAAAAATGAAAAAGATTTTATATAAATTAAAAATACTGCATTTTCAACTTGTCACTTTCACTCAGACCTTTGTCAATCTTTATATTAACGAACAAATGCTCTTAGGGCTAATTACTGAAAACACTAAGCACCTTTTGAAAAAAATAAAGATAGATACAAATACACACCTCTTATTCATTACAACATTGCTATAACAATATACAAAAAACTATAACTTACTTCAAGAACAATACAGTACAACTTTATTTTTCCAACTTCTACTCCTCTACAATCTCCAGTACTATGTAAAACCAAACCACTGACCTCTTCATTTATATACAAAAAATGAACAATCTTCTCTTAGTTACCTTATCAAAAACTAGAGGTCTAGTAACTATTTTAGCAAAAAATAGATCAAGAGTAAAGTAGCTCTTACTTCTATCTCCCATAGTATAGTTTTTCATCATATATTTAATATATGTATAATTAACTATTAAATAAAAGAGATAAAGAATAAACCTCTCTTTAAAAAAAATTAAAATTTACAAAAAAACTCCTTTAAAAAAAATCTATTTGAACTTCTAATAAACAAATTATTTTCAAAATTTTGATTTACATATTTACAAAACAGTTTGTAAATGCTTGGATTTTCAATACTAACGAATGTAAAACTAGTACAGAATAAATTTGTATTTGCCGATAGGCGAATTATGCATTTAAAATCTTAAAATGAAATTATATAGCATCGTTTTTTATGAAAAATTCTCCTAACGATCAAATCAGCTAAACTAAAATTAGCCAATCATAAACGATAATTTTAACTTCAGCCAAATTTTAGAATTAGACGCTGATGTTTTAAAAAAAGGTTTAAAACAATAAAAAATGTCCCGTTTTTTTTTTTACCATTCCTAATAATAATGTGTTAAATTTGATGTTTTCTGTGTAATAATAACAGATTTTTAGAGGGCACATATTCAACCGTTTTGATCCGGTTGAACCCGTTTTGACACGGGTGACCCGGTTTACTATAACCCGGTTCTAAACTCTAGTCAGGAGTCTGTCCTTCTGGAATTGGAAATTGTCCTTTTTTAGACGCATCTTCAAGTAATGTTCGTAATCTGGACATTGCAGCCGGCGAGCTTGTCAACAATGATTGAACTTCCGAAGGCGGGTTTTGAACGTAATTTTTGTAGACAACAGAAAATAATTTCAATGCGTGATGATTATAAGCGCGATAAAGACTCGAACCAGTAATCTAAGTAATAAAAGATAATTAGATAAAATAATAATTCTGGTATAAATGCTAGTAAATGTTATTTAGCCACCTTTAAGCAAATATAAAGAAGCGATGGCGTAATTTTTTGAGGCCTCAAATTCATTAAACGCGCTAGATATGTCCAAGCGTTGTCAATATAATATGGATTTTTAAGTTCTTCAAAGCATGAAACAAAAATAAACGGTTAATGATACAATAAGGTGTTATTATCAACAAATAGCATATACATTGATTATTAGACATACGAGAATTTAAAGGTTCTGTTTGCATTATTGCACAATATAGGGCTACGATTGCACACATTCGATTAACATAAGCATCTCCGTCTTCATTTGGCTTATATGATATTTGTTTCTTATATTCTTCCAGACTTTGATTCTATAGAATGAATAAATATATTTAATATCCCTAATTTCAGACAGCAGATATGATGTCTTTTTCAACAAAAAAATCCCCCCACAAATAACCTACGGCCTGTTTAATATGATAACGTGGTAAGACATATGGACATTTTTTAACAAGGCGAGTCATTAAAAACTCCATGAATTCTGCATGTTGCGTGGAAATCAACACACACAAGTGAGCAAAGGGGAACGCTGCAGGTTCCTTAGATACCACATCAACTTCAGCGTGTTTCTATAAATATAGAAGGTCAGAAATGTTATATATTGTAATATTTATTCAATAGACACCTTGATAATACTAACCACTACTCCTTTTGCAATATAATTAATAAGAAAATAGTAAACGTCCGAATTGTTTTGATGATTTTTCAGCATTACGTCAAATTGAGAAGCCTAAAATGAATAAAATTATTAGCGATTCAAATGAATACATCAAATATTTATAAATGATATTCTTACAATTTTAAGAATTTCCGTTCGTCCGTTCGTAAGAATGTTTAATCCCAGTGTGATGTTCTTTCTCGTTTCGGTAGTTGCAGATTTCAGCTGAGAATTCTTTGAAAATTTATCTTGTATGCTTTTAAGCATATTGCGATAACGCTCTTCTTGTTTCAAAATTTCGTCCGATACAAGATTTTTAGTATTGTTTTCGGTCACAGTTTTAACATTATCTTGAATTTTTTTGGCGTTTTCCGCCGCTTTTAAAGCCTCTTCCCTCTTTCTTTTTTCTTCAGCCACTGCTGCCTTAACCTGTGCCAGTTTTTGATTTTCTATCCTGATCCTTTCTTGTTCTTTTGCTTCTTCCTCCTTTTTTTTTCGATCTTCTTCGGCTTGTCTTTGTGCTTTAATCTTACAATCGTATTCCTATTATGAACGATGTAAATTAGATTCTAGAATAAAAAAATATATGTATTACGTTGTCGTATGTTGTCGCATCACTCACTTCAGCCATTTGCTTCCACTTAGCTTGCTCTGATTCAAATCGTCGTCTTCTTTCAAGTCTTTCTTTTTCACTAAACATAATACATATTTTTTTTCCTAAGCAAATTGTAAAATTTATTACCAGATTTTATGAATTAAATATGAAGTACTTACTATTTAGCCTCCATTTGAACCCAGTATTTTTGCCATTCTTTAATAGCCTTTAAGCGCATCTGCTCTGCTTCTTCATATATTCTATGTGCACGTGCTTTAGCTTCGTAAGTCTCTTTTACAAATTCAAATTCTTCTTGCGCTATGGCCTCCTATAATCAAGATTATTTATTAGAAGTTAAATAATTAGTTAAGCTGTAAATAAATTACTTACAACTAACCGATCATTTTTCCATTTAAATATTTCACTTTCATAGCGATCGTTCTCACAGGAAACGAAATCTAAATCTTCTTGCCTTACTGGTTTTGGCATGTTAACGTTAGAATTCGGGTTTTGAATGACATGACCCCGAATATATATAGATTTATAAGGTAAGGACCTGCAAAAAATTCTAGAATTCAACAGAATTTCGTTTATGATTACATGAAAAACTAGCCAATCTGATTATAAAAAAAATAAATGCAGGAACGGTTACACAAACGCGCTAGTTTTGTTGCATTAAAATACAAATTTAGATACGCGCGCAGAATCACGTGCATTGATTTGAAACCCGAAAATTCTGATAATAAACCTCTTAAAAGGTTGTTAATACTGGGGTTAGCGATTATATTAGTGTTTGTTATTGATGAATATAAAGTAAAATCGCTCAAGAAAAACTTTTTGTTAGAACACTAAAGATGGTTTCCTATGTAGATTTTTGAGTTATGGGCGATTATTGGTAAAAAGAAGCAAGCCAGAAATTTATTTTGATTGGTTGTTTATTTCTATTGAAAAAACAATGTTATACAAATTTTTTATATTGTTTACAATAGAAAAATAGATCCGTAAATAGCAAGAAAATTTTTTTCATAATTAGATTAATCTGAAATTTTGCAAGATTATAATTTGGAAACGTATTTTTCATATAAGCGTTGGAGATCGAATGAGATCGAATGTTTCCACCAACTTTAATTAGAGACAATTTGG